TATCAAACCAGAGACAGTCAAACCGGGTCAACGCTTTTCTTCAGACACCAACTGACGCGAAATCAATGGGGTCTTCGTTTTGTAGATAAAGCCGGCTCGAACTACAAAACGAAGACCGCTTAAATGCTTTGTTCGTTGTCAGCTGACGCGAAATCAATGGAGTTTTCGTTTTGTAGATAAGACCGGCTCGAACTACAAAACGAAGACGAAATCAATGGGGTCTTCGTTTTGTAGATAAGACCGGCTCGAACTACAAAACGAAGACCCTCGCTTAAATGCTTTGTTTGTTGTCAGCTGACGCGAAATCAATGGGGTCTTCGTTTTGTAGATAAGACCGGCTCGAACTACAAAACGAAGACCCTCGCTTAAATGCTTTGTTCATTGTCAGCTGACACGAAATCGATCAATGGGGTCTTTGTTTTGTACATAAGGCCGGCTCGAATTACAAAACAAAGACCCTTGCTTAAATACTTTTAAAAGCTTTTTTCGAGTGTTATGCAATATCGCGGACCTTCGAGTGTCGAGGCAACTTATTGTGGACTGTGACGGATCATGCAGTTGTTTATTTATGTCCTCCGTTTCATTGTTTCGGAAGTGAAAATGCCCCGAAGCTGTTCACCTCAACAAATACTGTCTACTTTATTCATCAGGGGAAATACTCGAATCAGTCGCACGGAGTTTGTCTACGATAAACGAGCACGCAATTGCAAATGTTTACTGAAATTTGTGCTTCCAGGTTAGAATAATGTGCGTAAAAAATATATTTTTACAAATAGGCTTTTACGCTTAAACATAACATGTTAATGTGAGAATATCTAGCAGGAAATTTGAAGGCTGATGTAGATATTTTTAGTTCTATTAAGTGACTTGTGACGCAAGAGAGGAAAACGTTTCATTTCTCCACTGAAAAGTTCCCAAAGGGACAGTCGTGCTCTTTTGAAGCAATACCTTTTGAGAAAACACATCTAGCATGTTCTTTTTTTGGCAATGTGGTTACCAATCATTTCAGCGATCCCGAGGAGACAGCTGCAGGGTACACTAAGGTGGACTTCAATGAATGAGTTGCCAGCAATCGGATACCTGTGTTTGCGCGAAGAACTCTGGGATCGTCATGGGGCAAACATTGGTAGTCGTTAGAAGGAAAATGTATGGCGAAAAGTTGTTTCGAGGTATGAGAAAACGATTTTTGAGACAGATCAACGCTTTTTCGCCGTCGTTTTTATCGCGAATGGATTTAGGCAATATTGATATGTGGAATATGTAAGTTTTTGTTTGATTAACCGTGAAATATATGAGAAAATCTACCGATAAACTCCCTTTTGCTTGCGTGAGGTTTATTGTGAAATTTACATCGCGTAATGGTCCGAAAATATTACAAAATTAATTAGGTATAA